TATAGACCGAAGTTGAGGGAGAGAGCTTGGTAACCTTGATTTGCTAATAGAGTTTTAACAGCAAATTCGAGAATAGCAACCTTATCTTCCTTGCAGGGTGAGATTATGTAAGTTATCTCATCCTTACCATCCTGGATGCAACACTTAAGATTGACAATACTCCTGTGAGTCATTTTCGTTTTCTAAATGCAAGAGCCATAGTGAGAAAAACTCGTTCCCATACATCTGGCATATACAGCGCATACCTTATTTTGTGTTATTTTTTCTGAGATAATTTTGCGATGTTGGCTGAACTTTCACATACCTCTACATACTTTATATCTTGCTGGGAAAAAAGATAAGGAGGTATATGGCGTAATTAGTATTGTTGTCTGGTACTAAGAGCTTCATGAAAGCACATGTAAACGGAATCCTCTTACCTTTTCACATGTAGATCTACCGGAGAGACACACAGTTGGTCTTACGCCTGGCGATCTCAAAATTGTGAGTCCACCAGCCTTTTATAACATATGCTTTTGCCATCGGTATTTACTTTTAGAGCTGGCCCTGTATTGCAACTAGACCTTCTTTCACATTTTCTCATGTTTGTTCGGGGAAAAATAAAAGAATAAAGGTTAATATGTTTTCTTTTTCGAATATATATGCGAAAATTAATATGTCACACAAGCCCTGCCAGTAATCAGCTATTACATCATTGCGTCCAGAAAATTATATCAGCAAAGTTGATGATCTCTGCTCCGGCCTAGTTAGATCGGTAGAGTACCACCATTCTGCTTGATTGGCTAGTATTCTTTCACTAGTTCTCAACATTAAGGTGGAATTAGGTTGCCAGTATATCTGAGATAGAACTGAATTCTGATTATTAGCATGTTGACCAAGAAAATCACTAAATGCGCTAATAAAATCAGGAGGTATTATAGTATCCACAAAATTCACGATATTGATTTTGGGATTAAGTGAAACGACCTGATCTACAGCCTCTTTGCTAATTTTATAACACCTTCTCAGATTAAGATATTTTAAATTAAGGGATGATCTAGCAATTTCTTCGATAATTATATCGGTAATTTCACAACAGCTAAGATCAAGTTGCCGGAGCCTTGAAAGCTGGTAGTGTGTTATTTTAAGATGAGTTAGTTTCGAACTATAAACTGGCTTTCTTCCTCCTCCGGATACTATTTTTAAAAATCTTTCCAATTGAAATTTATCCTCCACATTGTCTCCCTTTAGCTCGATGCGCCTCCATAGAATAGGAGTACCGCATCTGTATCACAATCGAGAAACATATAGAGTGGGATAGAGAGATTTATTTATCGCTAAAAAATGTAAAAACTGTTCTAATACTTCTGGTATAATAAAAATTCTTGATTGTGCCATAAATAATATATGCAGTATCTTTAATCGAAAAAATAAATTAGCTGGTCAGTATTTCCAATTTCAGATAAAGTGGAACATCCAATTTAACTAAAATTTCACATAACCTTTCTAAAGGATCCGAAGATTCCTTATGGGCAAACTTGATCTTTGCCTCTTGATTGAGGTCTCTGAAGAAACCTTTTTTCATCTCTACTTTACATAAGTCCGAATTTGATAATGAAGTATATGCCTTATATTCCTTATATACCTCAAAAAATTCATTCATTAATTGGTCATCTTGAACTGGTGTTGGGCTATCTTTAGCCTTTTCAGGTTTTAATGCCGGTGAAGTTGGTGGGGCTGTTCGATACGGCCAATTAAGTGTATCTCTTGCTTCAAGGAATCTATCTATTATTACTATAGCTAACTAGTTGTATTTTATATTTAATCGAAAAAATAAATTAGCCAAGCCTATTTTGTCATGGCCCAGCAAATTCTTTCGAGCTGGTGATAGTATACCACTCCGGCCATATTTCACTACGAAGTTTACAGGCAAGAGGTGGTATTTTAACCAGACTTATAATTTGTGGAAGATAGAAAATATCAGATTGTATGAATGCATGAAATAATGGTATCGGATTCTTCACATTGGGCAGGTTAAATATGAATTGCTTAAGCACTTTCTCTCTCCAATGCCTAACTGCCTCTGTATTCCAATAAGTTTTGATATCACAAAAAAGGTTATTTCAGTCTATATATTTATGCATTAACAGAATATCCTATTGAAATTGTGTTCCATATTCTTGGATAAATTCATCATAACATCTACCCAACATTTTGCTAATAAATCGATTGATTATATTCAAAAAAATAAAATCACGCAGTACTTGGTGATCACTGGTCTGGATTAGTTAGATCGGACTCCCAGATGCTCGGGATAATCGAACCCCACATTTATTTCCGAATTTCAGCTAACATTACATCAATTTCAGCTAACATTGAATCCATATCTATAGTCTGCTGAGACTTTTGATGATTGGGCTGGGGCGCAGGCGAAGTAGCCTGTGTTTGGAGTTTTGGGCTATCACTTGCCTCAGATTCATGGTCAGATTCAGTACCGTTGTCTTCTGATTCCGTATCACCTATAGCGTAATTATCTTCCGCATCAAGGCGGTCTGATTCTTGTCTCAATGCAATTCTTGTGAGAAGTTTAAGATGTTGAGGGGTTGCTTTCGGTCACCATGAATTCTGGAAGCGTGCTTACTCCCATAATCTCTTAATTTTTTAGGTATGCTTTTATAAGGTTCTTGCTTT